CTGCATGTTCCTTTTTCAATCAGCTGATTCAAAATCAAAACTGAGACAAGTTCAAGATTAAAGTGAGTATTGAATGGTAATGGAAAAAGTCAGAGAAGCCAGAAAAAAATAAACAAGAGGATGTTGAATCATTGAAATTCTTTTGCAATAAATTTTCGCCATTTATGCTCTTTTTCCCCCACAAGGTTGTTTTAATTGGCAAAATGCGATAACAACCGCCAGCAGAAACCCTGAACAGACCTCTAACAATTTAAATGCTAACAAAATTTATAGACACTTCACTTTTGTTGGACTTATATGTTGACTTCCAATACTTTTTTTGTTCATTTGTGTTGTTGGGTTACTGGCTTGTTGACCTATATCCAACATATCCTTATATCTAAATCAATAAATAACAAGCATTCTGTGAGTATTGTATTGCAATACATAAGTCCCCTACCAGTTAAAAATTCATTGCATTGGAACAAAATTCTAACTTGATCTATTACTTGTCATGGTGTAAACTATATAACAAATATCAAGTCAATATCTTCAAGCATGACAAAAAAAAGTGTTGAAAACTGATTATTTAAGTGATTTTTTAAAGTCCAAGGACCATAACTCTGCACAAAATCATCAGACCGGAACAAAATTCGAACTTGATCATGTTTAAACTATATACCAAAAATTCAAATCAGTATCTTCAAGCATGACGAAAAAAAGTGTGGAAAAATTATTATTTGAGTGAATTTTCTAAGTCCAAGGACCATAACTCTGCACAAAATCATCAGACCGGAACAAAATTCAAACTAAAACTGTAACTTGTCATGATAAAACTATATACCAATTATCAAATCAATATCTTCAAGAATGACAAAACAAGAGGCTCTCAAGAGCCTGAATCGCTCACCTGTTATTTTTTTTGCTTAAATCTTTCATCAATGATTAATTTTGCTTTTTACCCATGTGTTCCATTTTAGCCATAGTGTCTATGTTTCTTGACGTACAAGGAAATGAAATACAAAATTTATACTAGATTCATTTGAGAAGATTTTTAAAGTTAAAAAACATAAAACAACTTGTGTAAAATTGTCCTTAAAGGGCAATAACTCCTTAAGGGGTCAATTGACAATTTTGGTCATATAAAACTTTTTTGTAGATCTTACTTTGCTGAACATTTTTGCTGTTTACAGTTTATCTTTATCTTCAATAATATTCAAGATAATGACCAAAAACTGCAAAATTTCCTTAAAACAACCAATTTAGTGGCAGCAACCCAACAATGGGTTGTTCGGTGTGTCTGAAAATTTCAGGGCTGATAGATCTTGACCTTTTGAACATTTTTACCCTGTCAGATTTGCTCTAAAGCTTTAGTTTCTGAGATATAAGCCAAAAACTGCATTTCACCCCTATGTTCTATTTTTAGCCATGGCGGCCATGTTTGTTGATGGATCAAAATTTCGGATACAATTCATAAACTAGATTCCTAAAAGAACATTCATTCAATTTGTGAAAGTTAAGAAGTATTAGGCACAATAGTTTCAGAAGAGAAGATTTTTAAATGTTAGCAAACTTGATGAACACATTGCGTAAAATTGTCTTTAAAGGGCAATAACTCCTTAAGGGGTCAATTGACAAATTTGTTCATTTAACTTTTCTGTAAATCTTACTATGCTGAACATAATTGCTGTTTACAGTTTATATCTATCTATAATAATATTCAAGATAATAACAAAAAACTGCAAAATTTCCTCAAAACTACCAATTTAGTGGCAGCAACCCAACAATGGATTGTTTGATTTGTCTGAAAATTTCAGGGCTGATAGTTCTTCACCAATTGAACAATTTTACCCCTGTCAGATTTGCTCTAAAAGCTTTAGTTTTGGAGATATAAGCAAAAAACTGCATTTGACCCCTATGTTCTATTTTTAGCCATGGTGGCCATGTTTGTCGATGGATTAAAACTTTGGATACAATTTATAAACTAGATATCCTAAGGAACATTTAGATGAAGTTTGAAGGTATTTGGCCCAGTAGTTTCAGAGGAGAAGATTTTTAAATGTTAGCAAACTTGATGAACAAATTGTGTAAAATTGTCTTTAAAGGGCAATAACTCCTTAAGGGGTCAATTGACAATTTTGGTCATTAAACTTTTTTGTAGATCTTACTTTGCTGAACATTATTGCAGTTTACAGTTTATATCTATCTATAATAATATTCAAAATAATAACAAAAAACTGCAAAATTTCCTTAAAACTACCAATTTAGTGGCAGCAACCCAACAATGAGTTGTTCGATTCGTCTGAAAATTTCAGGGCTGATAGATCTTGACCAATTGAACAATTTTACCCCCTATGTTCTATTTTTAGCCATGGTGGCCATGTTTGTCGATGGATCAAAACTTCGGATACAATTTATAAACTAGATACCCTAAGGAACATTTAGTTAAAGTTTGAAGGTATTTGGCCTAGTAGTTTCAGAGAAGAAGATTTTTGAAATAGTTTACGATGACAGACGACAACGACAGACGACGGACGCCAAGTGATGGCATAAGCTCACATGAGCTAAAAAGTGTGCAAAACTGATTATTTTAGTGATTTTTCTAAGTCAAAGGACCATAAGTTCTAGTGTTGGATAATCGGTTGAAATTACCAACCAATTATCTATTACTATCAGTTGACAGCAACCAACCGACTATCGGTTATAATCACGTCATTAAACCTTGCCCTTTTTTAAAATGAAATCATGCATTTAGTCACATTGTACATGTCTAATGCATATATTCCATATCATTGCAGAGTTTTATATGTTCATAGTTGATCTTTTGTTTCCTTTTCATATTTCATTAAGCAATTAAAACAGTGAATCAATTAGAATCCAGATTCAGATTAAACATATTTTGTCTTATGATTACAACATATATTACCAACAATGACACTAAAATTTCTAAATGTTAATGGTATTACTCGCATTATAATTTCAAATACCTAGCTGTATAAAAATTTGAATGCTTCTCATTAAAAAAAGATATATAAAGAATTTAACTTTAAGCAATTTAAAATTAATAAAAAAATAAAACAATGCATTTGCATTGATATATATACATTTAACTAAGGGGATCCACCAATTTCTGTTAATTCGTGTAGAATGCTTTTTTTTCACTTTTGTGTCAGCTATGTCATTCATGCGACTGTACTTATAATTGCAAGAACGCTGAATTCTTACATAGTTGATCTGTTTCCGACCTGTAATTTGGCGGACAAACAGGGAAAATTTACAAAAATAAACGATGTTTGACAAGCAATTTGGAAAGGAATATGACGTTTTTTGACGCAACAAACGGATGAAACGTTAATAAAAGGCAATTTGCTCCACGTTCTAATGTAGCAAAAAAATTATTTTGTCTAAAATCAGAATGATTTCATGTAAGCTCTCGAGTAACAAGTACCGGAATTGAAAGAAAGTATTTCATAAAAAGTAATTAATTTTAAATAACATACGATCAATCTGTATAGTCAATGCTTTTACCACGTTTATAGAGAAAGAAATTGGTTATGCATTGATTATAGGATGTTTGACATTGTTATTGTCATCGACTGATAATTTTCGTTACAATTTGTTTGACTGCGCATGTAAAATGCAAACCGGAAACGGACCGGAAGTTGATATGCTAAAAGTCCGGAAACTATAACGACAATCGATTGAACAAAACCCCAATCGATTATCGACATCGCCAGGCCCAACCAACTGATTTCCGACTTATTCCGATCATAGGAACAACACTAACCATAACTCTGCACAAAATCATCAGACCGGAACAAAATTCGAACTTGATCTGTAACTTGTCATGATAAAACAATACACCAAATATCAAATCAATATCTTCAAGCATGAAGAAAAAAGTGTGGAAAACTGATTTGCCGGATTGTATTGACAGACAGACAGATGGAGTGCAAACCTAAAGTCCCCTTTGACTTTGTCGGTAGGGGACTAAAAATAAACATCTGTGCCAAGAGCACATGATATGCCCTTATTGTGCATACTGAAATTAATTGTTACAAAAACAAATGTGATATTTAGAAGACATTAAATCAGAAGTAAATGAAATGGCTCTGTAGAAAAACATGCATGTGAATATCCTTAGGCGTATAAGTAGTCTGTCAATTATGATTGTTAAAAGTCCCATAGCTCTGTAATGACAAACCATAACATTTTCAAAATCAAAAGTGTCTACATCCATTTATCCCAACCAATCGCAACAACAGTGTTATGTTTGTAGTAGTTTGATCAAAGTCAGGAGCCTGTAATCAGTGATTGTGGTTTGTTGCTATATATCACATTTGTTTTTCATTTATTGTTTTGTACAGGCCGTTGAAGGACATACAGTGACCCACAGTTGTTAACTTCTACATCATTTAGTCTCTGGTGGAGAGTTTTTTCATTGGCATGCATACCAAAACTTTTCATTTTTATATAGCTAGTGCATGACATTTAAAGTATGCCTTTTATTTATCTACGGTTAAAGTCCCATAACTCTGTAATGACATATCAAAATTTTTTTTTTATATCAAAGGGTGTGTTATGATCACCAATTCGAACAATTAGGCAAAGTTGTCAGTAAATCAATCCAGGCAAGTTATAGTCCACATGTGAAATTTTTTTACTTAAATCTGACAATTAAAGTCATTTTGAAAGTCCTTTTATCAATCCCAACAATAATGTTTTGTTTTGAGGAGATCAATCCAAGCATACTAGAGTTAATGGTTATATGTGAAAAATTGCCATAATTCAAAAGGTTAAAGTCATGTAACTCTGGAACAACTAAGCAAAAAATTTTCAAAATCAAAAGAAAGCTTTTTTCCATTAATCCTAATGTTGTGTTAAAATAACATGAAAATTGGTTGAAGCAAATTTGAATAATGGTAAGAAGTGTTGACAGATGTATGGACATACAGACATTGGTGTACCATAATACGTCCCTCTTCGACTGGCATATAAAAACTGTTCAAATAAACACTCACTTAGATCTTCTGTTGCACCATGAATCCTCTAAAATCACATAATTAACCTTCATTTCTTTCATTAAACGTTTCAATTCTTCGGCAGGCTTTCTACTGTACATAGAGTATACTTTTTTTGTTCGTTCTCTGTAAAATGTTAAAACAATTCTTTGTCAAATAGACATTTTCCAGTCCTCAGCCAAACCAAAGTTGAGAAGTTAATTCATGCATTAACTTTTTGGCCATCTGAATATCGTAATTTCAGAATTGTGAACTTGATGGTTTATCAAAAGTTGTGTGTTGTCAAGCAATTATATATTCAATTTAATTTTTGTTTGATTGGCTCCAAGCCATTTTCTATATACCTATTCACATAATTTCAAGACAATTCACTCTACTGGTGGAGACAAATGGAGTGCTAGTGAAAACTTCTGATAGGTCATTCCTATTTTTCTGCTTCAGCAAACTGACAAAAATGGTCATCAATTAAATTTTAAATTTCTTTTTTAATTAAAAGAAAACATGGTCCATAATTTTAGTATTGAAAATAAAGTTTGATTAGCTATTTCTGATACAATTATGTAAACAAGAAACTTGGGAATTATTGATTGATTGATGTTTGCATTACATTGCATAAGCTGAAAAGGCTATTGCTGAAAGAAGAACATTTTTCATTTGTTTGCTTAGGATTTTGTTCGAATCCCTTGAGCACTGATGTTATTGATTTTGGTTTAATCTACTGTTACACAAGTAAACTATGTTGGTCAGAAATCAGTTCCTTTTTCTATAAGAAAAATCAATCAGAAAATTTACGGTATATTTATCAGTTTACTAAACAATAAATTAAAATAGCAAGGGAGGCATTAATATTTCATGTCAGATGATGGCAGTTGTAGAATTCATTGTTAGAAAATTAATTTTCACCAGATTAAAATTACTCCTATTGGTCTCTAAATATTGTTTTACCTGGAAAAATTCTTTACACAGTATTATATAATTTGGGTTTTCGTCTCATAGATAATAAGCTATCCCCTTATAAACTTGAAACCCCACCAAAAAAAAAAGAACAGAGTTCCAATGTCCCCCGCATTTAACATATTTTATTGGTCCACGGGCAATAACTTAGAAAAAAAATATTTTCTTGGTTCTTGAAAACTTTTTAAAAATGATTTCTGAATTTTTCCAGCCATTGCTGATATAAACCTTTGATATAAGTTTGATAAAAAATCTGGTAAGAATTGTACATGTGAGAGTGCTTACAATGAAATTTTCCATGACCAATTTTTAAAAGGGCATAACTCTTTAAAAAAAGATAATCTACACTGATTTTCGAACTTGACAGAGACATTGTTGATATAAACCTCTGATATAAGTTTGATAAAAATCTAGGAAAAATTGTAATTGAGAGAGCGCTCACAAGACCCAACGGATGCACGGAGGGACGCCGGGTATTTCTATGTTCCCCACAAAGCTTTGAGAGGTGACAATTAGTAGATTAATAGTATTTCTGTAATGATGTATTAATGATGTTCCCACAAACACCCCCTAACGAACTGCAAACAATACAGTCATATGTGAAAAATATATGAAAAATAAAAATTATCAACATGTGTAGAATTATAGAAACAAAGAAATCAACTTACCTCAGTCCTGCATCTTCATAATGTGGATGGTTAACTATTGGGCGTAAAGTAGTCAGTTTTACTGTTGCCATAGTAGGCATAGGACCAGCAAACACAGCATCTAAAGGAAATTGTAATATCTATACATATTCAAGTATTGGGAGTCATTTTATGAATAAAATTTTCAATAAATAAATATTTCATGTATAATAGCAATTTGTTTATGAAGTAAATTTTTGTTGTACTCTTACAAATAAACAGTACATTGTAAATTTATCATCAAATTGCTGTCACATAGATTTGATAATTATCTTATCACTTTATCATTGCTTTGTTTCTACAAGTTAACTTTACATCTGAAGTCGAGTTGAAAATTGTCATTATTATTGCATTATTGCAAAACAAGTCTAGATAATAGAAGAGAGTTCAAATGTCCCCTGCGTTGCACATATTTTACCTATCGCACATATTTTACTAATCCGAGGTACAAGGGCAATAACTAAAAAAAAACTTTTTATAAATATCTTTAGGGGCATAACTTGTTAAAAATATTTGACCAGCACTTATTTTCGAAAGTAGCAAAGACATTGCTGATATAATTTTTAAAAAATACTGGAAAGAATTGTACACATGAGAGCGCAAACAATGCAATTTTCCATATAATTAATGTTTCAAAGGGGCAGAACTCTTTTAAAAATAATTGAACAGCACTGATTTTCGAACTCGTCCAAGACATAGCTGATATAAACCTAAGATATAAGTTTGATAAAAATCTGGGAAGAATTGTACAGGTGAGAGCCCTAACAAGACCGGACAGACGCCCAGTATTTCTATGTCCCCTGCAATGCGTTGTGCGGGGGACAAAAAGCTGTAAAGTAGTTAAACTGAAACTTCTAAGTATCTGCTGTCAACATCAAATTTGCTATTTGTTGTTGATATATCAATTTTGTTAAACTGTGTTTAACCATAAATCCATCATTCTTTAAACAGTCTGATACAACATCCCCTTCATGCACAAAAAATCAGATCCATTTTTTCAAATGGTTAAAGTATAGTTTTTAAAACTTAATTGTGCTCTACTTTTTGAAGTCTTTGCATTGATCCAATCAACAAGTTCTTCCAGTGGAACATTGCTGTACTCTCCCATTATAGACCACTGGTGCTGGAGATTAGTTATACCCTGGTATGTCATTCCAGCTGCAATAATTGTCACTAAACCTAACTGTTTTTCTCTGCTTCCAATCCACCCAAAAATCTAAAACAAAGGCTTTCTTTTAAATTGAATTTATCCGTTGACATTTCTTCATGAAATAATTTTGAAAACTAAAAAAAAGTTCTTTGCAAATAGATAACTATACATAATTCTGTAAATCCTGGCATTATAGTGTGTCTTTCTATGTTGTGATGTTACACTATTGTTTCAGATAAGGGTGAAGGTTTGGTACCATTAAAACTTTTAAACCCGCTGCAATTGTTTGCACCTGTCCTAAGTCAGGAATCTGATGTTCAGTAGTTGTCGTTTGTTGATGTGGTTCATAAGTGTTTCATGTTTTTTATATAGATTTGACCGTTAGTTTCCCGTTTGGATGGTTTTACACTAGTAATTTTTGGGGCCCTTTATAGCTTGCTGTTCGGTGTGAGCCAAGGCTCCGTGTTGAAGACCGTACTTTGACCTATAATGGTTTACTTTTACAAATTTTGACTTGGATGGAGAGTTGTCTCATTAGCACTCATACCACATCTTCTTATATCTATTCAACTTTTATGGTAGAGGATATTTACCAAACCCCTTGGATTTTGCTAGTCAAAGGTTACGATCTGACCCTCTCCTCTTCAACATAGACAGATTAAGTCAGAATTTGTGAACCATGAGTTAATGATTTCCATTGTAACTAACTGCATCCAATCAAAAACGCCTTTAAGATGGTGACGTGTAAATGTAGAAAATGTAAATAAACAATTGCCACATGCAGATTGTGAAACTTGTCTTTACCCTCAAAACACAGGATGATATTTAGCAACACTTTTCAAGTTCTTAATCAACTAATTGAAGTTCATCAAGATATGGTCCTTATGCAAATGTTGGAATGTATAGGTATGCAGTTTCTGCTTTACGAAATTTGTAAACACTTGACACAGTCATTTTTACACCTTCGAGCTAGAGTAAAAGTGCTGTCATTGGTCAATTATAATGCAGTCAAGAGGGTGTTACTTCTATTTGTCACTAGATGGCACTACGCTGTTTACACAATCTGCCAAGGGTGAAGAGGAGTGGGACGGATGGTAACCCTTGGCTAGCAAAGGTGTTTGGATATTAACCTTGCTATAACACAATTCATTTTCTATATCTTTTTGAAAATCCCAAGAAATATTTGAATTAAACTCAAAAATCATATTCTCAATAAAATAAAAGAACAGAGCCCAATGTCCCCTGTGCTGCAGACATTTAATCAATTCAAGGGCAATAACAAAAAAAAAAATTTCATTTCTTCTTGAAAACTTTTTACTAATATCTTAGAGAAATGAAGGCTTGAGAGCAAATACAATGCTATTTCCAATAAAATTACTATTTTCAAGGGGCATATCTCTTTTAAAAATATTTGACTGGCACTGATTTTCGAACTTATCCGAGACATTGCTTACATAAACCTTTTATATAGTTTTAACTCCATAAAGATGAACCAAGGCCGTGGTGTTTACTTTCGGTAGAGACTCATGGAGTGGATACCTTGGTATGCAGAGTTGTCAAATAATGGAAATGAATGCAAAACTAAAATAATTAAAATTGACAACAACACTTCAAAGAGTCCACAATTTTATTAAGCTGGTCGACATGGTCATCAGGACAACTTACATACAGAAATTAATTACTGAAGTACTAAAAGTGGTACATTAAATTTGACGTCACAATATGTGTTGTCAATGTCAAGGTGAGAGAAACAATGAAAAGTGAAGGTAACATGTTCTAAATAGATAAGATAAATATAGAAAAATAAAGTTTGTTTAAAATTATTAACTTGAGTTCGTTTTTCTTTTATATGATGCATGACATTGTTCTAAAGGCTTGGTATCTAATGGACGAACTTCCCATGGTTCCTACCACTTCACAAGGCTTCTCTCCCAACCTGGCCATTGTGTATATGCTGGTGGCCTAGTGGATCCTTTCAGATGCTATATTATTTCCTATTAGCGGCGATCACAATCTTCCCATTGCTACCAAAAGTAAACACCACGGGATTGGTCACCTTTATGGAATTATAATTTTTGTATTCATTGTGAACCCCTGCATCTGAAAGGATCGTCTACGCCAATTTACAGGCCACCAGCGTAAACACGGACCTCAAAATATTCCACACGTGCGACAAATCAACAAAAAGAAACCAAGATTACCAAGATTTCTGATACTACCCTACATGTATCTATAAATGATAGACAGATACAACCACACACCATGCAGGTGCCGAACATAAATGAGCTATAAATTTACATCCAGGCAAAACATGTCGAACAGCTTAATAAAACTGCAGACTCTTTGAAGTGTTGCTGTCAATTTTAATTATTTTATATAGTTTTGTTTAAAATCTGGCAAATATTTACACATGAGAGTGCTTACAATGCAGTTTTCCATACAATTTATATTTCCAAGGGGCATAACTCTTTAAAAAATAATATGAGATTTTTATCTTGTCCGAGACATTGTTAATATAAACCTTTGATACAAATTTGATAAAAATCTGGCAAGAATTGTACACTTGAGAGTGCTAACAAGACAGGATGGACAGACGCACGGAATTTCTATGTCCCCTGCAATGCATCCCGCAGTGGACAAAAATAAATGCAAAAATGATATCAAATGGAAACGTATAATTTCTGTCAAAATATATATCGATTTAAACAATGTATTAACACAGGGTAAAAACATGAGGGGTTAATTACTGTTAGTCTGATAAAAAAATTGATCATAAAAGTAAGTGATGCATCTATACACCAGCAGATATCTATACTTTACATGTTGTTGCTGATAGATTTATATGTATCATAATCATTCCAAAAATAAATAAAATTGCTCAGCTAAACACAGCTTGATACGACCGCAGAGGTTGAACCCTGAACAGTTGGGGCAAGTATGGACACAACATTTAATCTTAAAACAGCTCTGAATTTGGATTGTGATTGAATATCTGACACAGCATAGGTTTGGGACACAAAATGAATGTGGTCAATATCCAAAATCTAAGTACATGGTTAGAATCAGCATATCAAAGAACCCCAAGAATTCAATTTTTGATGATATCAAACAAAAGTTTAATTTAGGACCCTTTGGACATCAATGTGGACCAATTTGATAACACAGCCAAAACTCCAAAATATAAATACATGGTTAGATTCAGCATTTCAAAGAACCCCATAAATTCAATTTTTGTTGAAATCAAACAAAATTTAATTTTTGACCCTGATTTGAATCAACTTGAAAACTGGGCCCAAAAATCCAAAATTTAAGTACAGGTTTAGATTAGCATTTCAAAGAACCCCATATATATTCAATTTATGTCGAAATCAATCACAGTTTAATTTTGGACCCAGATTTGGATCAACTTGAAAACTGGGCCCAAAATCAAAAATCTAAATACATGTTTATTAACAGACAATATAAGCTTAGTTTTTAAAGGAGTTTGCTTCATCAAAAAATAAAATGCTTCGCTGAGCGCAGCCTGATACGACGGCAGAGGTCGAACCCTGAACAGTTGGGGCAAGTTTGGACACAATATTCAAGCTTGATACTGTCTGAATTTGGATTGTGATCAAATTTTTGACATAATATAAGTTTCTGACACAAAATAAATGTGGTCAAAGATCTTAAAAATTTGAAATGAGACATTTAATTTACCTAGAATGGTCTGATATCCAAAATCTAACAACATGGTTCGATTCAGCATATAAAAAAACACCAAATATTTAATTTTAGTTGAAATCAAACAAAGTTTAATTTGGGATCCTTCAAACCTTAATATGGACTTATTTGAAAACAGGGCCCAAAATAAAAACTAGAGGCTCTCAAGAGCCTGTGTCGCTCACCTGTATTTACTGATGCTTTGGAAATCATGTAAAATAAGGTTGAAATCAGAATTAATAGTATTAGATATTAGATATTATAATGATATCTAAGATAATAACAAAAAACTGCAAAATTTTTGTAAAATTACTAACTCAGGGGCAGCAACCCAACAACAGGTTGTCGGATTCGTCTAAAAATTTCATCGCAGATAAATCTAAATCTGATGAACATTTTTGCCACCTGTCAGATTTGCTCTTAATGCTTTAGTTTCAGAGATATAAACCAAAAACTGCATTTTACCCCTATGTTCTATTTTTAACCAAGTCGGCCATGATGGTTGGAAGGCGGGGTCATCAGACAATTTTTTTAAACTAGATACCCTAATAATGATTATGGCCAAGTATGGTTAAATTTGTATCAGTAGTTTCAGAGAAGAAGATTTTTGTAAAAGATCACAAAAATTTACGAAAAATTGTTAAAAATTGACTATTAAGGGCAATAACTCCTAAAGGGGTCGACTGACAATTTTGGTCATGACAACTTATTTGTAGATCTTACTTTGCTGAACATTATTGCTGTTTACAGTTTATCTCTATCTATAATAATATTCAAGATAATAACCAAAAACGGCAAAATTTCCTTAAAATTACCAATTCAGGGGCAGCAACCCAACAACAGGTTGTCAGATTTGTCTGAAAATTTCAGGGCAGATAGATCTTGACCTGATAATCAGTTTTACCCTATGTCAGATTTACTCTAAATGCTTTGGTTTCAGAGATATAAGCCAAAATCTACATTTTACCCCTATGTTCTATTTTTCGCCATGGCGGCCATCTTGGTTGGTTGGCGGGGTCATCGGACACATTTTTTAAACTAGATACCCTAATGATGATTGTGGCCAAGTTTGGTTAAATTTGGCCCAGTGGTTTCAGAGGAGAAGATTTTTGTAAAAAGCTAATGACGACGGACGACGACGACGACGGACGACGGACGCCAAGTGATGAGAAAAGCTCACTTGACCCTTCGGGTCAGGTGAGCTAAAAATAAATGGGGAATGTGTCCATGGGACACAGATGATGCCCCCGCTTGCATATAACATTATAAAGGGACATAACTCAAGAACAGTAAAAGTGAAGCTACCAAAATTTGTACTTGATCTGAGTTTTGTGGTAATAAGCATTGTGTAAAAGTTTCATAAT